TGGCCTCTTGTTTAGGCTATTACTACTTTGGAGTGGGGGGAGGGGTTGGGATGGGCATAGGGGTTGTCACAGAAGCCTTCCGTCCCTCTTTCTCAACTGTACCTCCACAATCATCGAGATCATGGCCAAAGAAGTTTATTTGCTCTTTGCAGCCCTAGTGTCAGCACAGACCAACAAACCACTTATAGCAGGACCATGGGCCCAGATAAGCTCTGATACAGCTGGGATCACAGATATCAGCAGGGCTTTGGCCACAGCACAGATCAGGGACAGCTGGGAGGCCTTCAGTGGCAACACCGGCCACAGACATCAACACAGACTGGGCCAAAGTAAGACCACGGACCCAGACATGGCCCTCTGCAGCAGCCCAGGCCACCATGGACCCAGGTGGCAGACAGGCCACTCAGATCACTGTAGCTCCTGCCAGCAGCATGGTCCATGAACATCAATATGGCTTCAGGCTGCAGCACAAACTACAGACAGCTGGGCGGGCCGTTCTTAATTCTTGAGTTGAGTGCTTTTATTTGTCAAGGAGTATGTATTTAAAGATGTTTAGTACACAGTCTATGTGTTATTTGCAGAAAAATAAAGCAGGACAAGTTTCCTATTAACTCTTTAAAAGATTCCATAGCAGAAGAAACCAACTCAAGCTACTGTTTGAAAATCAGGATGTGACCTTTTCAGTAAGTATTGATACAAGGGCATTGCAGTAAACATTAGCATTTGTTCTTTGGGTGATACCGACCACGTGAGAAGGGTTGGCACCTCTCATAGCCCCTCCTTTGGTGACCGCACTGGAATTCCTTTTCTGTCCTGTGCGACCCCAACACTGACCCAAATGCTGACTAAGCATTGTAGTGTGGTCCAGCAAGGCTGAAGACTGAAACAGAGATTCCCCACCTAGAAATGACATGACTGATAGTTACCTGGGCTCTCTCAGTGTTATTGGCTTGTTTGGAAATGGGATAAAAACAGCCAAGTGTTAGGAGGGCAAGAACTATGTCTCCGCATTAGCTCCCCAACATTTATCAGTTGTGCATAAAGACCCACTCCATCGTCGCAACCCCTTTTCCTCTCTGAAAGCTCCCCTGCCCTGAAACTCCCTGGCCAAGATCTGTGGCAGACAAGTCCTGTCTCCCTCAGGGCTAGCTTGGAATAGGCCTGTTCTTCCACCTGCTGTAGTAGAACAATGAGAAGTAGGAACTGTAGACCTGAGACGCAAATGCTCAGCGGATGGCCAAGTTCCTTGCTCTTCGCAGGAAGAGAATCCATGCACTAGCCATCTGTCTGTCCCCAGTCTCATGTCTCGAGTAGAGAGAAAGGTTGTGGCCTGGCACCAGTTAGAAGAGGAACTTGTCTGCCAGGAGTGATCTCACAGCCTTCTCGCTCATCAGCTCCCTTGCAGGACAGACAGGAAGTGATCTCACAGTCTTCTCTCTCATCAGCTCACCTTGCAGCAGTTCTGAGGAACAGGTCCACACCTTGACCGGGACCCTTCAGATTCACATGTGTTTTAGCTTTCTCTGCTTTTCTCTATTACTTGATTCTTTAACTGGCCCACTGAGCATGAGTGACCGAGCCTCCCTTGTCATGGCTGCCACGGCCCAGCTGGGACCATAAGCCCTGTTAACGACAGCAAAGTGTGAGCTGAGTGTGGTGGCACATGCCTGTAATCCCAGTATGAGTTCGAGGCCAGCCTGGTCTACAAAAGTGAGTCCAGGACAGCCAATGCTACACAGAGAAACCCAGTCTTAAAAAAAAAAAAAAAAAATAGCACTGTGCTTAACTTAAACTCAGTGATACTGCAGGCTTTGGTGTCACAAATGTTAGCTGGGCTATAGAGCAACCCGGTGCCTCAGAGCTACAGGCAAAGAAGGGTAAGTAATTTAAGTCGGAGGAAGGGTTGTAGAGGTGTCTGAGGGACTCTGGAGGACAGAAGTGTCGTGGTCATCGTAGTCAGGGTACAGGAGACGTGGACGGCCCCATCCACCTGCAGTGGTGGAGAGAGATGAAAAGGAAGAGTCACAACACAGAGGATAGTCAGAGAGACGAGGCCATTGACGGGTGGAGGAAGAACCGGCAGACTGCTGTGGTCCGCAGTCTGGACACGGTCAGCCCTGAGCAGCGGCTAGGGGGAAAGCAGGTGGGTCTCGGGAAATAACTGGCTTTTCCGGCAGGGAGCTCAGTTAAGGAGAAGGCTGGCATTTCCAGTCTGAGTCTTTCCGATTGGATGGACCCTGCTCTTCAGCAGCTTAAAGCAGGTGAGCTTGGCACCGTGGCCGGTCCCCTCGAGCCTTTGAAAATTGTAGGCTGGGGCCATAGCTTGGTTGGCAGAGTACCTTCCGAGCATGCATCAGGCCAGCACATGTTCAAGCACACACAAATAAAGCTTAAAAGTAAATAAATATTGGGACCAGAGAGATGCTCGGAGATTACGCGTACTTGCTGTTTTTCCAGAGAACCTGGGATTCCGTTGCCTGTATTGGGTACCGCCTACCACCCCAGCTCTAGGGGAGCTGACACCCTCATCTGACCTCCAAGGGCACAGTACTCACATGCAGAGCAAACCCGCACACGTACACATACAAACTAGATCTATAAAAATAAACAAACATCTTTTAGAAATGTAAAGTCATTGTTGGCTTCATATCAAGTATGAAGCCAGCAGGGTCACCCATAACTCTGTTCCAGAAAAACAAACATAAAATAAAAACCCAAAGTCAGGCGCTTATCTGTCAGCAAATATCCCCAGGGTGAAAGTCAACTTTACTGACATTTTTGTATTTCTGCTTTCGCTTAGCTTTTTGCCTCCGAAAACTCCCAACTTCCTCATCAGTTTACTGGTGGTCTTACTACCAAATAATCTTTTGTTCTTCCTCCAGCAGGGCTGGGTTTTCCCCGTTCACGAGCCACACTCATGAGACTGGGGCAGCCAGGAGCGCCGGTCGGTGGCTGGCCGCTCTGCCTGAACCCTTTCAATGTCACTTTAAAACTGTTCCCTTTAGTTAATGTTTTCTTCCCATCCTGGCTTGTGTGGGCTGGAGGTGGAGAACCTCACATGTGCTGGGAAAATGCTTGGCGACTCAGCTGCATGCCCAGCCTTTAGTAAAATAGGGTGTGTGTCTAGCTGACTTTTCCTAAGTCTTAAAGTTACTTTTCTGAAGCTTCTGACGTATTTAAATGCTCAAGGCTCTGGTTAAGTACATACTCAGAATATCTACAACTCTCGTTAGACTTAGTAAGGCCAAACGAGGGACAGGAACCAAAGTGCCTTCTGCAGAGACATGACGACCTGTGTTAGGAGTCCAGAACCCAGGCAAAAAGCCGGGGGCGAGGGGAGCGCCTGTAACCCCAGCCTTGAGGAATGAGATAGGCAGAGACAGTGGGTCCCTGAAGCTCATTGGCCGAAAGCCTAGTCCAATGGCTGAGCTCCAGGTTCTGTGAGAGACCTTGACCTAAAGACTAAAGGTCTCCCTTTAGTAGACAACGGGTGTGGATGCTTAGAATCCACATGTGGGTTACACACCCTGCACACACACACCCTTACAAATGTATAGACCATACACCCACACACACAGATCAGAACAGAAAGAAAAATAAGTGAATAATAAAGCAGAATAATGAGAGCACAAATTTTGGGTCCACACTGCCTGGGTTCAGTCGCTGATGGATAATTACCAGCTATGTGTCCTGTGCCTCGACCTTCCTCATCTATAAAATAGGGGTGATAATAACAATACCTCCTTGTGATAAATGCTATATAATACTCTCAGAACATTGCCTCACCAGCGGTGAGAGTGATAAATTGTTCATATACTTAAAAGTGAAATGATCATGAAGTTGTTAAAATGTTAGTTTTTACCTGGTACTCATGTTTGATATTTATAACCTAACAAGCCTTTGCCTTTTCAAACCATCACAGAGGCTTATACAGTGTCCCCAAAATCTGGCGACACTCTATGAAAACCGTGAACCTGAGGGCAATAGACCCGGAAATTGTGTTTAAAGAACACAATAGCATTAAGCTGTTGAGGTGTGGTGGCTCATGCTTGTAATCAGTTCCTAATGCCTGGGAGGCAGAGGCAGGAGAATAGCTGTGACCTCAGAGACAGCTGTCTCTACCAATCAAGAACTTAGCTCAACAAACAAAACCAAGTAATATCAGACGCTTGCTGTGCCGGGACCAGACAAGTAAGATCGCCTGTGACAATCCCTGCAGCACAGGAACCATTTTTTGCCCTCAATGGCGAAATAGGATTCCCAGGTAGGTGAGGAGCTTGCTCAGACGTGTAGCAGAAAGGGACAGAGCTAGCCAGCCTGAGCAACAGCAGAGAGATCGTGTGTGAGAAGGAGGGAAGGGGGGCAGCATGCATCTGTCCCCAGAGTTGGCTCTGGGGCTGCTGTTTCTATCTGAGGTAATTATCTGGGCTGTGAGTTACTACCTTTTTTGAATGAGGACTCCCGTGCAACCTCAGAGAATGCTGGATCTTGTGTGTGGTTTGCGCTTCACAGGTAGAAGTGGGAGAAATGAGAGCAGACGCCTTTTCTCCTGACCCTTACCAACAGCATTTGACCACTGGGCTTTCCAGATTCCTTCATCCTGAACTCAGGTGGCTTTGGTTTGGATACTTTTAGTATCTATTTTTTTAGTGTTGGTATGTATCAGAGTCATGTATGCGTACATGCTATGTATGGGGGGGGGGCACGTGGACCACAGCACTCGAGGTCAGAGGAGAACTTCATACTCAGATCTTGAGGCTTACACAGAAATACTTTTACCTCCTGAGTTATCTTGCCCAACAAATATTTGTTTGGAAGTTTTGTTTGGTTTGTTTTCCGGGGTTTAAGCCTGGACCCCGAGAGTGCTCACTCTCCTGCCGTGGTGGTACCCGGTCCTGAAGTCAGCTGCCTCGTCTGGACTTTCCGGGTAAACTCAGTTCGCTGACATGGGTAAATTAAAGTTATTTTATCCACATAGATATCCAGAAAGTTGAAAATGATTCTTTTAGGAAAGAGATTTATTTGACTCTCTGAAGAGGTCAGTTTATTATGGTTACATTTACAGTCTATACTAAACAGAAAAACAAGATAATACAAAAAAAAAAAAAAGCTGTGCCAGCTAGCTTTAAGTCAACTTGAAGCAAGCTAGAGTCATTTGAAAGGAGGGAGCCTCAGTTGAGAAAATGCCTCCATAAGATCCAGCTGTAAGGTATTTTCTTAATTAGTGATCAATGGGGGAGGAGCCAGCACGCTGTGGGTGGGGCCATCCCTGGGTTGCTGGTCCTAGGTTCTATAAGACAGCAGGCTGAGCAAGCCATGAGGAACAAGTCAGTAAGCAGCACCTTTCCACAGCCAGTACCCGCAAAAGTAACTCTATAACTCTTTATTTATTAGGGAATTCTTGGGCTGAGGAGATAGTGTGCTTGTCTGGAAGGCACCAAGCCCTGGGTGTAAGCCCCAGCACCACAGAACCTGAGCAGGTAGCACATGCCTGTATTCCCCGGCTCAGGACATGGCGCAGAAGCAGAACAGTCAGAAATTCAAGATCATCCTCAGCTACTCTGCAAGGTAGAAGACGACGTGAGATCCCAACTGTAGCAGAGAATGCAGGCATGCACTGGAGACAGCTGACCCAACACACTGTGTCTCTAAATAAGAAGCATCTCTCACTGTGTTCCTAAGTACTCCCACACGTCAGCACCCTGAACTCTGGAGCAGTGTGAGTAGCCAGTAGCTGGCCCACTGAAGTCTGCGTTTTCCTTTTATGCTCTTCTTCCGCATAGAGACCCTGGAGGTATAAGCTCTGTCCAATCGGAGGCAATGTGTCAGTCATCCCAATTGATATACGAAGTTGTTCACATACAATAGAGAGGACACTAATCCCTGAGAGCTTCTCCTGAGTGGTCCATCTGGAGGCCTGCTGCCCACCCACGGGCATTCCTGTCTTGTTGGGGGATACCCCAGAAGCTGCCAGCCACACCTAAATCCTGACCTTAAAGACAAGCGTCTTTCAATAAGGAAATGGGAAAGCCGAACATTTTTTCCTCTCCTGCAGCCTTAGTTTTAGATGATCGCAGAAAGAGCTTGCTTCAAAAGCCTCACATCATTTATACAGCTATGCTAAGGCTTGAAGGAGCAACCCTCTCTTGGTTTTGGTCGTTTGATTTTGTTTGGAGAGAGGCCCTGGCTTCCCATTACTAGCTATTATCACTCCGCTGGCTTTGAATTTGCATCAACCCCCTGCATCAGCCTTCTGAGCACTGGGATCCCAGACATGTGCCAAACACTGGTTGGATTTTCTCTTACTATCCAAACTTGGATTTCCTCAAGTCTGTCTGTATTTTTCTTGATCAATAAACTCACTAATTTTGTGTCGTTTCTGTGGTATTGCTGCTGATGACAGTCTGATGGCCAGGATGTCTGTGAGCTGGTGACAGTCAGTCTGATGGCTGGGATGTCTGTGAGCCCGTAAGGAAACTTACACAGGCTGGGGCTGCAGCTCGGTGGGGAGAGTGCTTGCCTAGCATGTAGAAAGCCTGCTTCCCAGCATCACATGATCTGAGCATGGTGAAGCATGCCTATGACCCCGAACTCCAAGGTGAAGGCAGAAGGATAAGAAGCTTAAGGCCATCCATCCTCGGAGTCATTGTGAGTTTGAGCCCAGGCTGTGCTGAAAAAGAGGAAACTTAAATGCTAGGAGGCAAATCCACCCCCTCCAACACAAAAAGCTGAAGTATTCCAGGTGTGGTGGTACACACTTGTAATCCCAGCACTCAGGGAGGCAGAAGCAGGTGGATCTCTGTGAGTTCCAGGCCAGCCTGGTCTACAAAGCAAGTTCAGGACAGCCAAGGCTCCACAGAGAAACCCTGTCTCAAAAAAAAAAAAAAAAAAAAAAAAAACAGCAACAACAAAATTATAAATGTGTGTGAGTTGCCAAAAGTAGGAGTTTTAAACCCATCACATCCACACTGTGTCTATTTCATAACCATCACAATGACATATGTACAGCGGTGCAATCATGGCATAAAGGCTACGGGGGTGACCAACTGCTTTCGCACAGGACTTGGAGCCTGCTCCACAGGGAGGAATTCAGGCCTGATACTCTAAACTTGGTCAAAAGTCCATAGTTCCAAAACATGCTACTGTTGTTTTGCTGAACTACATGTTGTCAGACTTCCTTCCAAACATTTATGCTTAGACCCACAGGTAAGTGCTGGCCTCAGTCTTGGCATAGAAGCTTCTCTCTGGAGTAGTCGGCAGTTAATGCCAGAGACTCATAAAGCGCTGAAAATAAATGTACATGGAATGCTCAGCCCAAAAATGACATCTGTACCCACCACACCTCTTCCCAAGATTCAGAGAGCATCTTGGCAGGGAGGTGGCAAGACTCTAAGATCCGGAGGATGGGAGGAGAGCTAAATACGTTGTCTTTGGGATATGATGTGGCCATTGCACTCACGAGGTCACAGTGGCTGTGGTTACCCGCAAGAGGCCAAGTCTCCAAGATCAGTCAGCCTTCCAACAGGCAGCACTAACTTGATCCAGTGGGTTCTTAACTGAAAAAGAAGAGAATGTGATTGGAGTGGATTGGGCGTTGGGAGGGAAGAGTCGTCGGTTCCGGGGGAGTTGAGATACATACGCTCAAGAGGCATGGTGTGCATGGGTGAAATTGTCTGAAGAACAAATACAGGCATTTTACCTCCAGGGAGGTCGTGGACTGCAAGTGTACAGTACCCACAGAGGCCAGAAGAGGGCGACAGGTCACCTGGAACTGAAGTTACAAATGCTTATCAAGCTGCCTTGTGGGTGCTGAGAATTGAACCTGGGTCTTTTGGAAGAGAAGCCAGTGCCGTTAACCACTGAGCCCAAGATATTCTGTTTTTTGAGTTCTCGAGGCAGTAAGGGCAGATAATTTCTATACTGAGAAAAAAAGATATGTGTCCTCTTCAGAGGCGAATGCTGGTGTTGCTCTGGTGCGTTGTGATAACAGGCATCTGTCAGCAACCCACACCAGAAACACAGAGAAGAGAGGGCTGCAAAGACACCCACCCAAAAGCTGACGGTGATGAGGGAAAACAGAAAGGGATTTTTTTAAACCTAATTTTACAACACTACCACCCCTGAGCTGGCCCAGAGAGCAAGAAAGCTGGTCCTGCCCATTGCCGGCTGCAGCAGTCAGCAGAGCCCACAACCTCACCTGGGCAGCACAGTAGAACTGGCCCTGGTGGCGTGAGTGTGAGAGGGCCAGACCAACAACTCGTTACAGTGAACATTTGCAAGTAAAGGTGTGTGTGCAAAAGTGAAGGGCCTAAAGCATCCCCACACACACACACACACACACACACCTCATTCTGCTAAAAACTCCCAACCGTAGATTCTGTCCTGTTTCGGATAAGCCTGTGCGGACCCGTATAGCCTTGAATGGATGCACTCTCTGCTCTGCACAGGGCCCTGCCCCATGTCAAAAGCCAGAGCGCACTTCCTTCCTCCTACGTTCCCGAGAGACCCAGTGTCGCAAACGCACATCACTTCTCACGTGATCTTTCCCCCTTCAACTTACAGAATAACTAAGTTGTTTTCTAATCGTATCCTAACATCTGATTCAGGGGGGTTTGCTTTAAAAGGAGCCTGCTCTGTCTCCTCCATGCCTGACCCTAGCCGGTAATGTTCGCTCCCTTCATAAAAGTTGAATAAAAGTTGCTTCCTGCTTTGCTTAGATTTTTTTCCTCATTATATGTGTGACCCTCAGGCCCAACAAAAAGGATATGGCACACAGTGTGGCACACTGCAGCATCCACAGTGATATGGGTTTGGTTTTGTTAATTTTTTTGCATATGTTTTTGTTTTCTCTTGTAGGGGAGGCTCCAAGGGTGAAGGGTAGATATGAAGAAACGGGGAGAGAGATGAGTGAAACTGTGGTGCATGATGTGAAATTCACAAAGAACCAATAAAAGGTTTAAAAATAATTTCACATGCTTCTGTATCATATTTAAATTTTTAACACTAATGTAACAGTTTTGACTCCTGGAATGAAAAAAATAAAAGTAGCTATAAGTGTTTACAGAGTGCAGAAAACAGTGAGCAGTCTTGAGGAACTGCACGCATGAAGTATTCCTTAGATCAGCGGCTCACAAAATTGTTCACACGTGTCCACACCAGTTACACAGAAGTCTCAGAAATCTGGTCCCCTGTGGAGCAAGTTATTTTTATGTGGCAGGTGAGGTAAGAAAAGAGCTGGGGCATAGGAGTGATTTTGGCCCATTAAAGTGATTGAGAAGCCAGGAATAGGGCTTTCAGAGGCAAGTTGGCTTATCGGGGATCTGTATGGGGGTCACAAATTCAAACGCAACTGTCAGAAATTAATCACGTAGCTGAGAGCAGGCTGGTAGAGGAGAGAGAATCGGTTTTCCTTAGAGGTGTGGTCCATGGGAGCTTGTCCATGCTCCACTGAATGCATACATAGGCAGGATTAATTGGACATTATCCAAAGAATGAAAAACATTCTTTGGGATGAAGACCTAAGAGGGGAATTTTAAGAGGGATCCGAGGCAAAGGGAGTGGATTTGGTTGACAAACATTTTGTGTACGTATAAAATTTTCAAGGAATAAATACAAAACATTTGCAAAAAGTAAAAGATGCTGGGTGTAGCACACACCTGTAGTCCCAGCATTTGGGAGGCAGAGGCAGGAGCATCTCTGAGAGTTCACGACAAGCCTGGTCTACACACCAAGCTCCAGGCCAGCCAGGGCTACACAGAGAGAGAGAGAAAGAGAGAGAGAGAAAAAAAAAAGGGTGCAGTGGGGTGGGGTATGGCTTGGTGGTAGAACACCTGTGTGGCAGTGTGAGGCTCAGATTTCCAGCCCCAATATTGCACAAGAGAAACAAACAAACAAACCCACAAAACCTTGCGCTGTAGGCCCAGTACCATCTAATCTTCCCATATTTCAAAAGAAGCTGACATTAGGATTTCTGAATTAATATTCCAAGTTCATTTAATGCTCAGCTTCTTTTTTAATGAATTTTATTATTATTATTATTATTATTATTATTATTATTATTATTATTTATTACAATTTAATCAATTTGTATCCTGGCTGTGGCCCCCTTCCTTGCCTCCTCCAATCCCTCCCTCCCTCCCTCTTCTCCTTCCATGCCCCTCCCCTAGTTCACTGATAGGGGAGGTCCTCCTCTCCTTCTGTTTGACCCTAGTCTATCAGGTCTCATCAGGACTGGTTGCATTTTCTTCCTCTGAGGACTGGCAAGGCCACACCCCCCAGGAGGAGATGATCAAAGAGCCAGCCACTGAGTTCATGCCAGAGAAAGCCCTTGCTCCCCTTACTAGGGAATCCACTTGGAGAAGGAGTCTATGGGCTACAACTGGGTTGGGGTTTTAGGTCCTCTACATGCATTGTCCTTGGTTGGAGTATCATTCTCTTCAGGGCCCCCAGGGCTCAGTTTTTATGGCTCTGTTGGTCTCCTTTTGGAGCTCCTGTCCCCTCCAGGTCTTTCTAACCTCCCCCTTCTTTTCTAAGAATCCCTGAACTTTGCCCAAAGTTTGGCTATGAGTCTCAGCCTCTACTTCAATACCTCAATCAGTGGAGTCTTTCAAAGGTGGTCTGTGGTAGGGTCCTGTCCTGTTCCCTGTCTTCTCCTGCTTTCGATGTCTATCACATTCGTCCGAGTACATTTTCAATACCTTAACTGCTGCATTTGTGAACAGTGCAAGGTCAAATACACCATGTCATTGATCTTCAGAGTTTGAGTAGAAGTACCAACACAACCCTTGTGACCTGGACTAGTTCCCATGCTTCCATTAGACCTTTGGTCAGCATGTCACAGGGCCCTTTTCTCAAGGTCTTGGTTTTCTAAACAAAAGAATTTTTTTTTTGATGTTTTGGGGTTTTGTTTTATTGTTTTTTGTTCGTTTTATTTGTTTGTTTGTTTGTTTGTTTTTGAGGCGGTTTTTTTTTTTCTGTGTAGCCTTGGCTCTCCTGGACTTGCTTTATAGACAGGCTTCAAACTCACAGAGATCCGCCTGCCTCTGCCTGCATCCTCCTCTCCCCACCCAGAATGCTGGGATTACAGGTGTGAACTACACTTTGATGGCTTTTGTTTTTGTTTTGTTTAGACAGGATGTCATATAAAACCCAGACTGGCCTCAAATTCACTATGTAGCTCATAGTGTCCTTGAACTGCTGATCCTTCTGTCTCAGCCTTCCAAGAGCTAAGATTCAGAGCTAAGAGATGGTTGTAGTGAGAATTTTAGGTTTCTCTAAAAACATAGAAATGTTACAGGAATGTTTTTACTTTAATCTCAGGTGTGGACTATGGAGCTGCTTCAGACTGTCCACAGAAGCTGACTATGATTTGCCTTGAGCTCTAGCAGAGGCGTGATATTGCAGGCTGAGGATATGTTTGGAACTCTAGGGACTCTTGAAAGCGTGTATAATGCTAGGGACCCAAGAGAAGCTGCTAGGAGGCTGTTACTGTCCCTGCTGCTGTTGCTGTTTGCTGGATTGCCGATTGCTGGTTGGAGAGATCCTGATCAAAAAGATCAAATTTGCCTCCAAAGAACTTGACATCCCTAATCAACAGAAGGTAATCTGACCTTCTTTCTCTCCTACCAAGTGTTGGGGGGTTGGGAGGGATAGGGGTGGTGTAGGGAGGTAGATAAAAGAACCCAATAAAGTGGCCAAAAGGCCAGCTACATAATATGATATCATATCAAGTATTACAGAGAAAACAATTTGAAAACTGACACAAAGGCTGGGAATTTATCTCTCAGTACAATTCCTGTCTGAAAACAGACACAAAAAGGTCCTGAAGCCAGGAATGTCAGGACACACTTGTAATCCCAGCACTTGGGAGGAGGAAGTGGGAGGATTTCTTCAGCCATGTAGCCAGTTCTGAGAGTTACAACAAAAAAGCCAAAATAGATGCAGGTTCGTGAGTGGAGGGAAGAGGGCCGGGATGTACAATTGTGTGAGTGCGAGTCTCACCGGGGCAGCTGTTCCTTCTGCTTCCTTATCTGTTGCTCAGGTGAGCCTGGCTTATTTTTCACTGTGGGGCTCTGTGCTTCATTCGGTTATAATGCATGACTTCCTTCCTAACAGAGGAAGTCCTCTCACAGACAATCCCAAGTCTAGTCCAATGTAGAATCCTGTTTTCTCCACAGATAAAGGGTGAGAGCAGTCACCACCCATGCCATCTTCACAGAGTGTAGTTGGCCATTGCACTAGAAGTGGTCAAGATATTGGTATTTCTATTCCAGCCCTGTCCGGGAAGGAGGTGGGTGCTCAGGATCTTTCTACCTGCTTCCTTCCTAGCTAATGTTCGCGCTCCCTTTGACCATGGCATTAAACAGTATACCTAATTGTAGTACCTTATCACAGCTGTTCTGTTTATTGTTTTAAAATATTTTAGAGCTTATATTTTAATATAAAAAAATAAAATTTAATTTAAAAGAAGAACTTATGTTTTGCCATTCTAACTAATTTTAGGTTTAATGCAATGGAATTAATTACAGTCACAATGTGTTTGACCGTCAACAATAGCTATTCCCAACCTCTTTACCACCCCCAGGCCCTTGTAACTTTATTCTGTACAGTCTAGGATAATCTACCACAGCTGTATATTCAATTTATTAAGTACGTAGCAAGCAAAAGTGTTTTTTGAAAGAAAAAAAAAAAGGACATAGCAAATAGATAGAAGCAGCAGAGAGATAGCAATGTATCATCAAATCAGGTACTTAAAACATCCTGCAGAGATGACTGGAGTAATCTTATATATCAGGAAACAAAGATAATATCATCAAATTGGGACCTTACAACATCCAACAGAAATCTGGTGGACAGGAAGCCATCAAGCTTCTGGATTTTCATTTCCACTGCAATGTTCTCTCTCTCTCTCTCTCTCTCTCTCTCTCTCTCTCTTGTGTGTGTGTGTGTGTGTGTGTGTGTGTGTGTGTGTGTGTGTGTGTG